GTCCCGATCCGATCCACGTATCGGATCGGGACAAGCCTAGATTAAATCATTTCTTTAAACTTAGAAAAATCAACCTCCCTGCTCTGTGGGGAAGCTTTGGTTGATTGGATCCGACTTTTGGATCTAACTGCCTTTTTATTCATTCAGGGGACATTTAGATACTGTTCCCTTATTGAAATGATTCCCTCATCATCCCTGATCTTTAGAAGTCTGTACTCTTCCTTTGGTTTAAAACTGTTTTAGTATCAGACAGAAAACATAAATGCTCCAATCTAACAAAATACAAGAAGGTAGGACCGTCATCCATGTCTGGAAGGAGTTATAGAACCATGGAGAAAACACGGAACGACATGGATCAACCATTAATGAGTTCGTCTCACATTCCCTTAAAAAGAAAAATATACAACGAACTAAAGAGACGAACGGTAAAAAGCAGGGTCAGACATGGCGGTGGAGGTGTGATGCTTTGGGCTGTAATTGATGAAACTATGAGTTCTACTATTTAGCAGCTGTTCTTGAAGGAAAACCATCAGCTGCACCGTAAAGAAACCAAACCTCATCCCTGAAAGATCGTTTTTTCCCTTCAGCTCGGCTCAGACGGTGGAAAAGCGTTTCTCCTAAATCCATTCAGACCAAACTCAGAATCAGCAGGGAGAATAAACTCTAAATTAAAAACAACTTTATTACTCTGGACATGAAAATGATTAACAGAGCAGTACAGAATCTTTAATAAGGACATATTTGTTTGTTTTGTCACTTAAATAAATACAATTAAGAAATAAATCCACACTGAAACAAGGAATCTGACTGTAAGTAACACTGAACTAGTGAAACTGTTTAAAAAATCATAAGATTGTTTACAGTAGATGTTAGAACTGCGCTATGATGCTGCAGAAATCATGGAAACCAGCCTGAAAATGGCTCCTGTTGCACCGCCTGCTTATAAAAAAACACAAATCCAGTAAAGCCTCAATCATTTGGAGAAATAAAAATAAAAGGACAAACATTTATAGAATATCTGACTATCATAGAGAAATATGTGAATCGTTGAAAGATGAGATTTCAGCCATTGTAAAACATTAATTGGGTTAGTTTGACTCAAACTGGGAATGAAGGCTGCAGCGTGCGACACTGCAGAGACCAGATGCAGTGATGTAATGAAAAGAATGTCCCTTCTGCTCCTAAAGTAACAAACTGAATGCTTTAATGCATAAAGGAGTCCATCAGTGATTGTATAAACAAAAACCTTTTAGATTAACTTAGATTTGATTCTTTTATTTATTTTTTTCTGCTTTTCTTTGTCTGATATTCGAATTATTTTTACATCCAGTTTGTTTCTGTTCCCCTTCTGTCAGTCTGAGTTGAATCTATTTCATAGCGATGCTCTGTGAGCTGCAGACGCTGACGATGCTTAAACGCCTCCACGCGTTAGACGCCTCCCGTCCGTCACGCCGCCTCCTCCCCGCTGACGCTCTGTGTCTCCGTCTGTCCAGATCCCCAGCCTCAGCCACAGCGTCATCTCTCAGACCAGCTTCCGGGCGGAGTACAAGTCCACGGCGGGGCCGACGGTTTTCCAGAAGCCGGTCAAGTTCCAGGTGGACATCACGTACACGGAGAACACCGGCGCCACCAAGGAGAACGGCATCTACTCCGTCACCTTCACCCTGCTCTCAGGTACACACAGAACATGCAGCGTGTTAGGAGGAACACGTTGCTTCTATGCTGATAGAATAATAAAACCAATCAGTAATAAAGGACGTGTTTTCTTCAAGGGTCGGTTCTATGAATGTTTGTGCAGAAACAGAGAAACCAGCTGTCCTCCTGACATTTATGGAGACGGCTGAGTCTTTATTTCTGATGATTTGAACAAATGTTCTGGATCATTATCCAGCAGAACCGGACATGTTTTCACAGAGCTTGACAAAAGATTAAATTCAACCAAGTTGTTTGTGTGTTTGGACAAAATGTGGGCCCACAGCATCATGGGACCTCCTTTTTTACACGGCAGACGTGTTTTTCAACTTTAAAATACTTGGTTTTATGGAACAACACAATGTTCAGAATTATAAGGCGGGAAGAAAATATTTTCACAGAAATCTTGTTTCTAAAACATCTCAAGCTCAACCAGAGTGGACAGACGACATCAGGGAACACGGATTAGTTAAATTTAGGTTTTGACTTTGACTAGGCCGTTCTGAAGCCTCCATTGTATCCGCAGACGGATGCTCAGGGTGGCCGTCCTTCACGCAGTCTCAGATCTTGATTTGCCTTTGCTTTAACTCTGAACAGTCCCCCAGCATGATACTGCCACCACCATGTTTCACTGTGGTCATCTTGAGTTTTGGTTGAACTGAAAGTTTGGGTCAGATTCCAGACCGAATGCCTCTGCTCAATAGTTTGGTGACTTTTGAAGGTTGAGACTGATCTAATTTTGTGTATCAGAGAGAAAGAAAAACTTCTTGCATGGTTAAGGTTTTTTTTTTGTTTGGAGAACGAAATTTTAGAACCCAATTATCATTTGAATTCTTCAGATGATGCCTGGGTTGATGGCATTGTAAGAAGGTTTGTGATTTTTTTCTCCAGGTCCGAGTCGGCGGTTCAAGCGCGTGGTGGAAACCATCCAGGCCCAGCTTCTCAGCTCCAACGACCAGCCAGGCATCCAGCCTCAGATATCCGGTAAGTCACTCACTTCCTGTCAGCCCTCCTCCTCCTCCTCCTCCGGACATGCCAGCACAGCCACAGCACACCTCGGCCTCGGAGCAGCCTGGCACACCGCTTTAAGCGCACAACATCGCCCCGTGCATGCGCCCCCTCCCCCATGCCACGGGCTGCACACCAACATGCACAGCAGTGTTAGCCAGCCTCTGTGGAGACGTTTCTAGACCCACAGCAGCTGTAACCTCCCCTCCACAGACGGCGCTGGGCTCAGCAGAAACTCGCTCCGTCAGACAGCCTGATGGATGCTTCCAGCGAATAGTTCAGGATGGGTTCTGATTTTATAGGTTCTGCTTAAAAAGACGGACTGAAGGAAAGAAAGAGTGACTGTGTCCTCCAGGTGTCTCTCTGTTATCTTCATGTCCTCACTGTGTTTGTTTACTTGATAATGGTTCCCTCTTGTGGTAAAAAGCAGTAACTGCAGCCATAGTATCAGTGCCACACATGGGAACCGTTATCAGGACGGCCGTCCTTTACTGTCCACATCGCCGTCCCCCCCACTCTGGCTTGCCTTTTCCATGCCGTCCTGCTTCCCGTCATCCACAGCTTGACTCCAGATCCTCCTGGATGGACTGAATCACCAGCATGCTCCACCGAAAACTCCAAACCATGCTCCCAGCGCCGGCTCAGACCGGACCTTTGTGTGTTTTCTGGTTTTGCTGTCATCTGGATCCGTTTCCGGTCTCAGTAACACGGAATCTGCATGTCCAACAGAACATACCTCACAGCTGTGTCCACATGTGACCCTGATGAACTTCTCTCCGTCTGTCTGTCTGTCTGGTTTAGTTTTTTAACATCAGCTGAAATGTCAGACTATGAATGTTCGGCTTATTCCTCAGAAAGAGACCTTCGACCTGAAAATGGCCAATCAAGCACAGTGTCATGTTATTATATCAAACAATCAGATCAATCATCTCCAAACTTTTTCCACCTTCAATGTGACTTTTATACTGCACAATGTAATAAAACAAACATCAACACTCATAGATCTGGTATGGAGAGAGTTTCGTTCCATTATTGTTGCAAAGAACATGTTTTGTTAATCGAGTTAAAAAAAAGGCAATCTGTAGAAATGAAACTAATAAAAAAAAGGGTTGTAGAGGTTTTGGTTTATATATATTATATAAATATATAAGCTCTCTCTTGACCAATAGAACTGTTGCTCACATCCAGCAGACCAATAGAAATGCGTCTTGTGAAGCATAAACATATTTTTGTAAACTTTTCTTGTAATTTTTAAAAGGGAGAAAAAAATAACTACACTCCAAAGTTACAATAGTTTGGGAAAAAAGTAAGAACTTTTTGGTTTGTAACTCACGGAACAGAGTATTTGTAGAAAAACATCTAGAAATAAAATAAAAACTTTTATTTCTCTCTGCACCTTCAAATCCATAAGTACAATGCAAACATCTTTGAATTAAAATGACCTTCACATCCTGCTCCTAGAAGGAAAATTTTAATTCTTAAAAATATAATTTTTTCTAAAAATATAAATTTAAAGAGCAAAATATGAGAACGCTTTTTTTAAACTAAAATATTTTTTTGAAGCCTAATTCAAATTTCCATCCTATTTGTTTGCAACAATAATGGAATCAAATTCATTCCATATACGTTCTGGTTGAGAAAACATCCTCAGGCCTGTATCCATAATTTAAGGTATAAATGGCGCCTATGATTGACTGTAAAGGTTCCTGTAGAGGCAGAGGAACTGAGCCAAACATTCGGGTCTCTAGAAGGTGTGGTGCTGAAGTTGGTCGCCAGGTGCCCCGCCTGGTGTTTCTGACACTGTCCTCTGCTCTCAGATGGCTCTCAGCGCTCAGCTTCCAAAGCCTCCAAACGTGGTAAGACCCGATCAGTGGGAGGTCCGGTTAAACGGGACCAGCTCTGGCTTTTAACACGTCACAGCAGGCTTCCTGGAGGCTTGTCACCAACACCACCAGCCTGAGCTAACGCGTGTGTCTGAGAGAGTGAGAGGGAGTTTCCATCTTAGCCGCTTATTTTAATTCAACGCAATTTATTTTTATTTAGACCAGAAAATAAAAAAATTTAAAAGGAAATAAATACTTTAGATAACCAAGTCATTTATGAACAACTAATCTAAAAGTATTTATACAAAATAGAGTTATTTTTTAAAACCTGATAGTTAAAAAGGTTCTGTTAATATGCACTTAATAATTTGTCTGCAAAGACAATAATCTAAATAAATGTTTTTTTCTTCTAATCTTTTTGTTTTCTTCATACTTTGAAAATAAGACAGTAACCCAATTAAATTTATTATTTAGTTTAAAGTGGTACAAAGAGGAAAAAAAGTTTTTTACAGTATAAATTTGTGTTAATGAAAGAATAAAAAAAAGAAATAATTCAATCTGTGGCTGAATTCAAATTCATGGGCTGTATCCTCCATGGACCCGTGAAAATAAGGAGAACGGAAGAGTTTTGGCTCTGAATTCAAACAGGTCTAACGTTCTGCGGCTTTCACTGCCGTACGCTCTGTCGCCTGGCAACCAAAAAGTAGGAAATGATGAATACTGGACTTTTTAATACTGCATCATTTTAGATTTACATTTTTTTATTGTAAAGTGAACAAAGACTTCACTCATGAGTATACAGAGTGGAATAAAGGTGACAACCACCGGGAGCATCAACAAATATAAGCTAATGTTATGATATAAAATAGGTAGAAAGATATAAGTAAATCTAAACAATGTATATATAAAAACTATATCTAAAAAATCCCTTATATTCAACAAAAAAAGTACTTAAGCAAATTGTGCAAAAAAGCAATTAAAAAAGTCCCCATACTACAGATATTACAGCCAAACCCATTTACATAGTAACAGATAAAAACTGTTCAATAAATAAAACATTACCGCCACATATCTGACTCAATAACCATTTAAAAAAACTATTTTCATTAGTTTCAAACAGAACTATTCACATATTGTATTATATTAAACTGAACTTCCAATATTCACCACTGTCCCGGGCCAAGTACCTTTTTCCTCTGATCATGGAGCAGCCGGCTTGCTTGGTCTCTAAATGAATCATGGGATATCCAAGGCCGTAGGATACACCGGACCCGTCCTTCAAAACGGGCAAAGAGAAGGACGCATTTATCGGCTGCAAAACTAGGAGCAATGGCATCCGAACAGACCTCCACGTCTTCGGCCTTCGAATCTGGCCTTCGGAGGAAGCATCCCATGAATTAGAATTCAGCCCATATTAAATTGAGAGCTCCAACAACTGATCCTGAACAAAATCCAGAAGGATCTGGAATGAAGAAAGAACTCAGTGGATCAGAACCAGACAGCTGATCAGTGACAGGAAGCAGAGGAAGAGGCTTCAGTTTGTCCTGGAGTCTCACCAGTCCAGATTCAGCTGGTTCCAAAGAGAGGGAACCGGCATTACATCATAGGTCCAAAGTTAGTTTGTCCATCAGTGAACTTCATTAGATTCTAGGTCCAAAGATCAAAAAACCTGAGTCATCACACCTAAACCCAGAACCAGAACCTAGGCCAGAACTTTGACTGAATTTGAGGGGAATTAAAGCAGATCTGGGGTCCGTTTCAAGAACCAGTTTCTAGAAACTTTGAATTTATGAAGCCTAATGTCTGGAACTCTGAGTTTTCGGGTTTCATAAAAACTGCTGGGATTTAGTTTAATCAACTCTAAGTCGGTCCACTTAGAGCTAAATACGTGTTTAACAAGTATGAAAAGCCATTATCACTGAAGCCCTGATTCGACGGGTCACCATGGCGACAGGCAACAGGAAGTGCCTATTTCACCCCACTGGAACTAGACACTTTAATGTAGAATTGGAAAAAAAATGAGAATCAGTGCTACAGCTACAAAGGAAAGGAAAATGGGGAAGGAGAAGATTGCTGCTAGACTTAATGCGTAGGTTTTT